ACTGTCTAATTTTCAAATAAATATGGTGTTGTTACTGTTAAGTACCTTTTAGTTGGTTATAACATATAGTGACCCTGTAAAGAGTTTCTGAGGAGTGACTGATGGGTTTGAACCATTGATCTTACCATTAGCAGTCCAGTGCTTATCCTACAGTGCTACACTAAGACTCCTTCAAATGAATAAAAAGTAGCTGAAAATACCATGGCATGTACCAGGTACAACTTAATCTTCAAAGTGACAGCTTTGTTTTTTAACACTTAAAAAGGTTTTTTTACAATGGATTTGCTCAATGAAATATGTCATTTGATATTTTAACTGGTATGTCTATGGGTTTGATTGTGCATCTAAGCAACATGAAATTCTAGATAGTTTCAATGTTATCTTTATTATTAATAATCATAATGTTACTTATCAGTACCATTGTCATTTTTTTTCCCTTGATGTTGACATACACAATCCTCACTAAAGGATGTAGTCTTCGATCTTCTTCAGTAAGTACTTCAAGTGTCAGGTACAGATTAAGATACCGGAGCCTCTCCCACACTAGCTGTGTCTCCAGGAGAAAAGGGGCAACATCCTCAGTCCAAACAAAGTGGCTGAACATCAAACACAAAAGTCCCAGACATAAATTGTGGTTCGTGACATAGAAGCAAAAACATACTAGGAAAAATGGTGCCCCTAGAGTGCCAAATTCTTGGAAACCTTTTTCAGGAATTGTTGTTGTTGTTGTCAAGTGACATCGAGTTGGTTTCAACTCATAGTGACCCTGTAAAGGGTTTCTGAGGAGCAACTGGTGAGCTTGAACCACCGACCTTATAGATCAAACCAACTTTGAAATCTAGAGCATTAAGAATAGCGGATGAATATTTAACAGAAACACCTGCAACCTTCTTTTCCCAATTTTAACACTAACCATTCCTCCCACAGAACTCTTTGCTTCACATCTGGATTCAATAATCCAATCCAATGGTCACACAGAACTCATAACAATACTCACTGTTGTGGTGTTTTTTAGGGAAGTGACCAGGATACAATTCAGGATCAAATCCAATTCAGGATGTAGGTATGCTTAGCCTTATCTTTGGCCTCTCAGCCATGTGGCCACTTGGTCTTTGTCCTACTTCAGCAAGTGTTACAAAGCTTTTTTTTTTCCAGTCTGTGAATGCCCAAAGGACACATTCTGCAAGCCAGTCTCCTGCTATAGGCACTCAGCTTTACTCAGTCCATGAGCCTAGAGCGTGAAACTGCTCTGTATCTCCATACCACCACCTCTATCATCACCTCTGCACTCATGTCTGCCATTGCCCTATCTCTAGGTAGGGAGCTCATGCTCCACTCATACTCTTCCTTCTTGGTGATCCTGGGGTATTGTACCTTTGTTTCTGAAAAGGCTCCTTTTAAATGTAGCCAGAGGGCAAAACTAACCAATCCCAGCCTTAGAATCCTGTACATCTAATTTGCATCGTCCTACCCAATCACTTGGTGGAATTTAAGAAGGTTTTGGATAGAAAAGCCTTCTTAAAGTAGTGGTGTGGCATTGCAGGTTAATGTGTTGGACTTCAAGTTTGGTTAGAATGGCAAAGTTGTTGGTTTAAACTCACCAGCCACACCTCCAACTATGAGTTGAAACTGATTCAACAGCACTTAACAACAACCACGATCACCCTGCAGTATTGGGCATAGCTTCCAGAATCACAGCAACATGTGATCCTTGACAGTACAACAAACTGACAGATGAATTGTGATCTGAATAGTTTGAGGAAAACCCCCAAATGAGATGAACTGGCACAATGGCAATGGGCTAAAGTGCATCGACAGCTGTGAGGATGGTACATGACCAGGTAGCATTTCTTTCTGCTGTGTATTAGACTGCTGTAAGTAGGAACTCACTTAACTGCACCTAACAAAGCAACAAAACTCTCTGTACTGAGTCTTTGTGCATGCACTACCATGTTGCTTCTGATCATGCAGTAGAAAAAGACTCTCTAGTCTCTGGTACATCAACAGAACATTTCCATTGATGCTATCCAAGTTGCATCCATTCTGTGCCCCAATTCTATAAATATTATCAATGGTTTCTCATTTCTCCTTAACCACACCTTTCTGAATTTGTCATACTGTGATGACTTGTGTAAAGCCATGAGCACAGGGTGATCCTTTAGAAAGATGGGGTCATTGTCCATGTGTGCATAGGTACAATGGACCAGCTCCACGTGAAGCCAAGTGGTAGGACAGTGCAAATGTAGGTGAGCATGCACTTCCCTGACACTTTGAGGGCAGTTGGTGGCTAATTGGACCTGTCTCATTCAAGGTAAATTGCAGAGTAAATCAACCAGCTGATTGGACTGTTTTCAGAGAACTGCAAACTTCTCCCTCATAAATTATGTCAATATCTCTTAAGGACATACACATACCATGTAGTAGAACACAGAAGAAGTCCAAAGACAAGGAAACATGATAACAAAGTCAAATCTTTATCAGACTGTTACAAGTGAAAGGGAAGAACTCCCCTTTGCCAAAGACACGGACATTTGATATATAATGTTTATGAAAAATGAGGTAAAATGTAAATCTATTCATAATGATGTGGTGAATGTTTATCCTAGAGCACAAATAGAGACATAGCACCTGGAAATTTGATTATTACTGAGTGCCATCAAGTCGCTTGTAACTCATTGACTCATAGCGACCTTGTGTAGGGTTTCTGGAGAGCTGTTGTGTTTGGACCACTGACCTTGTGATTCAAACTGAGCTTCTAGTCTAGCCGTTTTCCTGCTATGCCGCCACCAACTTGATGCCCAGTAGTATAACTTTGACTGAGACATATTACTTACAATCCCAATTAATTATTTTCTCTGAACATGCTTTTTAATGTTATAATTTTTCCTCATGTAGAATTTACCAGTAAGGTGTCAGTGTGAAAACATCATGAATAGCATTTAATATAGGAAATTGATAATATAGTGATACAAGTACTGACAGGGATAAAAGAGCAATGTAAAAATAAACAGACAGTAAATTCAGAAAGAAGTTACCACACCAAGAACTAAGGAAAAATGTATGAGGAAAATGTCAAGTTGATTGGGATGTGATGACCTATACTCATCATTTTTAGAATAAACTAACAAAAAAAGCCAAATGGGTAACAGAGGTTTAAAGATTTTCCCATGTCTGACCCCAGTATCACAAAGCATAGAAGGGTGACTCTGGAGAAGGTAGACAGTAGTTTATGAACAAGCACTTATGAACAACTTCATGGAGTCCAGTATAGAGGAAGTGGTAGTTCATGGTTCATTGGTAGAATTCTCACATTCCACGTACATATACATATAAAGAGCAATAGAATGTATTCTGTTGTGGTGCTGTGAGCTAATGAGCTGGACTGCAAGGTCAGTTTGAATTGCAAGGTTGGTGGTTCAAACTCACCAGCCCCTCCTTGGAAACCCTAAAGAAGGTTGTTACAAGTTGGAATTGACTCAGTGGCACTTAACAACAATGCATATATAGCCTTATGTTAAGGAAATGGTTAACACAGTAGTACATTCTCAAGTTTATGGATTAGATGTCAGCATGGAGTCTTCTGATTCATGGAGCAGCCAGGCTGATGGAAGCAAGATTGGCAGGCAGGCAGGTCTGGTGGTTAAGAACACAAGCTATTGATGACTCCCAGGATCAGTAGATAACACTGCAGCAGATCACTGGATCAAGTCCAAAGAAGGAGAGAGAGTAGGACAAACCAGCCTTAAGTTTCAGATGCAGCAGAGAACAAGAAAGTCTTGCCCGTGTGTCCAATATATACTAGAAGTAGACCACACCCCCAAGAAAGCTTCCTTTCAATTGGTTGGCTGCTTATAATTAACCTCATCATAGAGTTTATACATTATATCATATGGCATCATGAGGAATAACTACATCTCAGCTGCCAAAGCATTGATAATCCCATCCCGGTCAAGTTTACACATAACCTGAGCTATCACATATGGTAATAAATATGATCAGGAATATTAGGAAAATCACTAGCCTGTTCTTAGAATAAGTTCTTTCACACTGTTCCCCTTGTGTGATTTGATCATTTGGAAGTCTTCAACATCTGTTCAGGAGAATTAAAATACCCAGGACAGACTTGACCTCATTGAAAGAAACATCTAGAAAGATGATTAAATTTTGCCTTAGATACACATTAAAACCACTTGTGATGTTTTAAAACTCATATGTCCAAATTGCATGCATTGTAAATCAGAATCTGTAAAGGTGAAATTAAGACCTAAATAATTTTAAGCTTCCCAGATGATTTTAATATGAAATCAAGACTCAGGACCAGTGACATGAATGTTTATAAATAACCTTCATAAGCAGTTCTGTTCCATGCAAAAATAATCTGGATAATAGATATGAATTATTGTAAAGAATATGGAACTTGGTGGTGTAGTAGACTTCACACTGGGCTACTAACCACAAGCTAAGCAGTTCAAATGAACCTCAGAAGAAACTCTCTACTCCCACAGGATTTACAGCCTCAGAAGCCCTATGCAAGGTTTATATGAGTTGGAACTGACTTGAAGGCTCATAACCACTATCACCACCATGGTACAAGATGAAGATTCTAAGTACATAAAAATGTGGTTGTTAAGTGTCTATGAGAAGCAGCTCAAGGGTTTAAACCACCAGGTTTGCAGTTAGTAGTCCAGTGTTTATCATACAGTGCTACACAAGGACTTGTGCATTTTACCAGGATATCTCAGTCCTAGAGGGGAAAATACAGATGATTATATAGCTATAATGACATTTGATTCTGTAAATTGACATATCCTAGAATATTCCTGGTATCGCATTAAATATATGACAAAGGAAGCAGTGTTTAGATATGGAAATGCAATACTGGAGCCTATGAGAGCTACAAAAAAATTTCATATTCAAACAGGCAAGATTTCTTTTGCAGACATAAAACGTTGCCATCTTTTTCAACCCACATATCAAAAAATATGGCATACATGTTGAGATTAGGCTGTTTTACTGAGGACCCTCCTTAGAGCTTTCTTTATGTCCCTGTTCCTCAAGCTGTAAATGAAGGGGTTCAACATGGGGGTGACCACAGTGTACATCACTGAGGTCACCGCACCCTTCCTAGCAGAAGACGAGACAACTGAACTGAGATACGCTCCAATACCTGTTCCATAAAATAAGCAAACAACTGACAGATGAGAACCACAAGTGGAAAAGGCTTTATACCTCCCACCTGAAGATGAGACTCTCAGAATGGAGGAAATGATTCGAGTATAAGAGAAAAGGATCCCTGAGACTGGAAGACAACCAAAGATAGCACCAACAAAATACACCAGTATGGTATTGGTTGAAGTGTCAGAACAGGCAAGGTTGAGGAGTTGTGGAGGGTCACAGAAGAAACTAGGGACTTCCACATCTGTGCAGAAGGTAAGCTGTGACACCATTGAAATATGCAGCTGGGAGACCAAAAGGCTGATAAGAAAAGATACCAAAACTAAAAAGCCACAGAGTCGAGGGTTCATAATAACTGTGTAGTGAAGCGGGTGACAGATGGCCACAAGCCGGTCATAAGCCATCACAGTAAGGAACAGACTGTCCAGACTTGCAAAGAGATAGAAAAAGGACACCTGTGTCAGACATCCCACATAGGCTATGGATTTGCTCTTTGTCTGTATGTTCACCAGCATCTTTGGGACTGTGGTGGAGATGAAACCAATGTCAGCCAAGGACAGGTTGGTGAGAAAGAAATACATGGGTGTGTGGAGGCGGGAGTCAGAGCTGACAGCTAAGATGATACTCAGATTCCCAGCCACAGCGATCAGGTATATGGACAGGAACAGACCAAAGAGGAGAGGCTGCAGTTCTGGATCCTCAGAAAGTCCCAGAAGGAGGAATTCTGAGAAGCTGGTTAGATTCTTGGGTCCCATGTACCCAAGACAGTTTCTGGAAACAGAAAAGAGGATTGTTAAAAGAAAATAAAAGTGAATAGGAACAGAACACCGTATCTGTATTTTCTTTTCAATAAATTCAGAAGTAAAGCATACAAATTTGCGAATATTCACCCAGTGCAACATTTATTGGCTAGAGCAAACTCAGAACTCAAAACACTTTCCTCATTGTTTTCTGTGGTATTCTCCTGTTTTTTGTGTACACTCACTTTAGAGACAATGATAGAAGTATAAGATGAAAAAGTCCATAGAAGAGGACTGCTGGTGCTGTAAGTAGGCATTGTGCTGCTAACTGCAAGATCCACAGTTCAAACTCACTGTCTGCAATACAGGACAAAGATAAGGCTGTCTGCTCCTGTAAAGATTTACAATTTTCTGAATCTTATATATAGGATTCCTATGAGTCTGAATCAACTCATTGTCAGTGGGGCTATGAGGGAAAACTATGCAGTAAGAAATATCCATTTCTATTTTGGGGAAAAAAAGTCATTTTAATAAAGAACACTAAGAAACATTTACTTTCTCAGTTTGGGTAATGGTTAATGCAATTGTGTGCTAATCAAAAGTTTGGAGTTCACAGACAGGCACCTTGGAAGAAAGGCTTGGTGAACTCCTACTGAAAAAATCAGTGATTAAAAACCCCATGGAGCACAGTTCTATTCTGACACGTGGTGTCAAAATGGGTTAGAATCTACTCAGGAGCAATTGGTTGTTCTTTTTAAGAAGTAGTCAATTATTTTATCCAAGTCTGTACTTATTTTATCCAAGTACAGAACAATACATTTCCATGATTTTAACTACTTAATTATTTAAAAATAATAATAATAATAATCACTAAAAATAAAGTCATTATCATGGAGTAGATGATAATTCATGGTAAAGCCATGTGTTACAAAATAAAATTGTTACATAGTGTTTACTTGGCCTTAATCTTTATAGAAGAAAATCACCAACACTTTCTTTTATATGCTGAAGAGTGGTTTGAAGCACCAATCTTTAGGAGAGTTGTTGTTGGTGTAATGTGCCATAAACTTGGTTCTGACTCGTTGTTGTTGGGTGTCATCGAATCGGTACCGACTCATAGTGACCCTATGAACAACAGAACGAAACACTGCCAGGTACTGGGCCAACCTCACAGTTGTTGCCACTGATGCTGCCACTTTGCCAATCCATCTCACTGGGGGTCTTCCTCTTTTTCTCTGACCCTCCACCTTACCAAACATGATATCCTTCTCCAGCAACTGGTCCCTCCTGACAATATGTCTGAAGTATGAGAGATGAAGTTTGGCCATCCTGGCCTCCAAGGACCACTCTGGCTGCACTTATTCCAACACAGAACTGTTTGTTCTTTTGGCAGCCCACGGCACTTTCAATATTCTCCTCCAACAGCATAACACAAAACCATCATCAATTCTACAGTCTTCCTTACTCACTATCCAACTTTCTCATGCATAGGAGGTTATTGAAAATACCACGGCTTGGGTCAGGCACACCTTAGTCCTGAAGTTGACATCTTTGCTCTTCAACACTTTTAAAAGTCTTCTGCATCAGATTTGCCTAATGCAATACGTCATTTGATTTCTTGACTGCTGCTTCCATGAGTCTTGATGGTTGATCCAAGAAGAATGAAGTCCTTGACAACTTCAATCTATTCTCCAGTGATAAGACTGTTATTTATTGGTTCAGTGCTGAGGATTTTTGCTTTCTTTACATTGAGATGCAATCCATACTGAAGGCTGTGGTCTTGGATCTTCATCAGTAAGTATTTTAAGTCCTCTTTACTTTCAGCAAGCAAGGCTGCATTATCTGCATATCACAGGTTGTTAATGAGACTTCTTCCAATCCTGATGCCATGTTTTATTCATATAACCCAACTTCTTAGATTATTTGCTCAGCATAGAAGTTGAATATGTATGGTAAAAGAATACACCTTTGTCGCACACCTTTCCTAATTTTACACCATTCATTGTGATCATGTTCTATTCAAACAACTGCCTCAGGGTCCATATACAGATTCCTCTTGAACACAATTAACTGTTCCAGAATACTCATACTTCACAATGTTGTCCATAGCTTGTCACTATCCACACAATTGAAAGCCTTTGTGTAGTCAATAAAGTACAGGTAAATATCTTCCTGACATTCTCTGCTTTCAGCCAAGATCCATTGGACATCAGCAATGATATCCTTCATTACACAGCCTCTTCTGAATACAGCTAGAACCTCTGGAAGATCTCTGTCAATGTATGCTTGCAGCCATTTCTGTATTACCTTTAGTAAAACTTTACTCATATAGGATATCAAAGATATTGTCCGATAATTTCCACATTCCATTGGATCACCTCTCTTTGGAATGGGCACAAATATGGATCTCTTCTAATCAGGTGGTCAAATAGTTGTCTTCCAAATTTCTTGGTATACTTGAGTTAGTACCTGCAGTGCTTCCTTACTTTCTTGAAAGATTTCAATTTGTATTCCATAATTCCAGGTGCCTTGTTCTTTGCTAATTTCTTCAATGCACCTTGGACTACTTCATTCAGTATCATTAGCTCTTATTCATATGTTTCTTCTTGAAACTGTTGAACATCGACCATTTCTCTTTGGTTCAGTGACTCTGTATTCCTTCCATCTTCTTTTGATGCTTTCTGCATCATTCAATAATTTGCCCAGAAAATCCTTCTATAATGAAAGTTGAGGCTTGAATTTTTTTCTTCAGTTCCCTTAACTTGAGAAATGCTGTTCTTCCCTTCTGGTTTTCTAACTCCAGATCTTTACACATTTCATTAAAATGTTTG